GGGGCGGGGAGGTAAAAATAGATCGTTCTTCTGTTTTCATGATCACTTATCCTGACAGATTTTTCTTTCCCCGGTAACTCTCTCGACAAGGGAAGGGAAGGGTGCTTCCAAACGCTTTCCAATAGCGAAGAACGGAACCTCTCGAAAGCCTCGTGTGAACACAGCGTTCCCTAGTGCTAAGCAGGGTCAGCAGTAAGCAGTCTATTTTTCTACCCCACCAATCGTGGAAGAAAAGCGATGAATGCAAGATTGAGAGATATATATTTCTTTTTGCCTGTTTAGTACGCCTGGCTATGCGTCTCAATACAACGACGGTCAAAACAGGATTTCCAGAGGATTCCACAACAGTTTTCTCCTAGTACATTTTTAGCTTCCATATTTAGCAATATGGGTCTGTTGGCGATACTTGAGATGACTGAAAACAAATCAAATTCAAATTCAACTGTTCAAATTCAAGCCCTGTAGAAAAACTCTAGCGGGCAAGTGGGTTAACGGCCTCGTTAAACTGATAAGAATCGATTATTTTGAAGCATTCACGGGTTTTTTCATTATTTTTTTTTTAATGCGCGAGTGCTTTCCCTAATCGTTGCTTCCCGGTTATTTCGTGCAGCGAACAGCGGGGACTTGCGTGAATAGTATGATACTTCAGTTTAACAATATTCCGATATACCCTGCTTTCCAGGTGCCTGCTTTCTAAACCACGATTGGCCATGATTAAACGTATAACATTAGCCAGAGAAAGACCGTGATCCCCGATTATGGCTTCTGACGTATATCAATCGTTTTAAACTGAATTTGTACTGAAACATCAATAGTGGCTTTAAAAAGTTATTTTAATTTAGCGGAAAAAACTTCTGGGACAGACAAAAACTATTCCAGGAGTTCTTATATGAACCCATTTCTTTGAAACGAAATTTTTCTATATAGCGAAAAGCACAGTATTTCAGGGAAACACTACGTGATGGAAGATTCTCGTGTAACAAGACCGTTGTCCAAATGGTGATTAGACATTCATGTCCCAGCATGACGGAGTAGATATGGAAATACACCGGGTGGGTCAATAATTGGATTGCGTGTTGCGTTACACAGCCGTTTTGCTCAATTTTCAGGGTACAATCGAAGGTTATTGCAGTTCTGGGGAATTGTCGATCAAGAATTTTATTTGTTGAAGAGCTGTTTAGGTGAGAGTCAATCTAGGAAAATCAATGAAGTACTTATCTTGTCGATTACGCTTTCAACAGAGTTGTTTTGTGTCTTCGTTAAGAGCTTTGATAAATAATTTTGTTGCTTAAATTTTTTAGAATCGAACGAACCTGGTATTTCTTGTTCATTAGTTCAAATTTTGATCGCGTAACGAAATTTTCTTCAGGTTGGTAATAAGCTTATTCAGGACATGGCTGTCAATGGTGTTTGTGGAGATGGATTTCACTTCCTTCGTGAATCCTTACAAGAAAACGATCCTGAGATCTACGAAATTTTGAAGAAGGAGAAGCAACGACAAGTGCGAGGACTCGAGCTCATCGCCTCAGAAAATTTCACCAGTACAGCCGTTATGGAGGCACTGGGCTCCTCAATGACTAATAAATACTCCGAGGGACAAGTAGGACAGAGGTATTATGGTGGAAATCAGTTTGTCGATGAAATGGAAAGCTTGTGCAAGAAAAGAGCCCTTGTAGCGTTTCGGTAAGTACACGTGTTATATTAATTGTCACGTGTTCTATCATTTAATTTTTCGGTATAGTCCCAATATTTTCCTAAATATTTCGGAGATCGGTTCAGTATGGCCAGGTTTGGGCTTCAAAGTTGGCGTTTTCAAATAAGTTCGAATTGAATCGAAGCGAAGAACCCGCGTGATAAATGTTATGCAATTTCTCGTGTGAAGGTGTCAGAGGTCACGCTTCAGGTACTGTTGTGAGATCATGAGGTACAAGATGGTTTTGAAATCGAACTGAATAATTTAAGTTACGAATCGACAGAAAGGTGCAGTGTACATGAATAGTAAACCAAAGAGAGGTACAGATTGTGAAAAACGACTGACACAATCGGGCTGTTGATGGTCATAAATTTGCATGCATTCACTGCACGCAAGGATAACGAACGGTTATAGTTCAAATGGAGGGATGAAGGCCGGTGGATCAGTCAACTATGTGGCACATTCACTGCCAACCTCGTTCCCAGGGTCTCTCATCTTACTGCCCCCTGGACCGAGCAAAGAGAGACCCTGGTTGAGTCTGGTCACATGCCACTTTGACAATTGAGGACATCAGGGAGGGGTCCTCCATAATCAGCAGTTTGTCGCGTTGAGCTTTGTCACGCACTGCGACCGCCACATTACCCGCGGCGTTTATCAATACTTAGCTTTCAGGCTGAAATTTCAAATAGTATCTGTTCCAACGTTTACCTTAAGGTTAAGCAAGTCTGTCTTGAGGTAATTTAGTGGTCGTGATTTTCAGTGTTGCCGTCTTACCCACTTTATTTATGGAAAGTCAGTCAAATTTCAACTGTGGACGTCGAGCAGCGCAATTTCATCCCGTAGTAATTATTGTGTCTCCTTTGAATGCACTCGATCAAATTGATGCAAAAAACATAAGAACGTCTC